GCAAGGGGAAGAAGCAGCCTAGATCTAGGGTGACCATGTAATTTATCATCCAAAGCAGGAAAATTTTGAGAAGGGAAGGGAGACTGTTAATTTATGCTGGGACATCACACTGGGATTGTCCCTAGCCATTCTACTTGTATCATGGCCTATTTCAGGGACTGTTTGCGCTGACTTTCACATTCATGCACCTAAGTGTTGAGATTGAAATGAAGGTCTCTGAGGACTGACGGCCTGGTCCCCTCTCCTTGTGACTCCCACCATGCCAGCGTGGTGTGCGGTTTCCACATTTATTTCAGGATGATCAGTGTTCCAGACGGCCCTTTAATCTCTAGTAGTTGGTTCTGTGGGAGACACTGGCACAGCCACAAGGCTCAGAGCGTCTGCAATGGTGTTACATGGCCTACAGATGGCGCCCTCCTCCCAGCAGCAGCCCAGGGGTTCCTGCAAGCTCCAGTTTGAGAACCAACCCTCAGTATTGTCCCCTCACCTTGATGGTGTAGGCTTGAGCTGGCACTGGGTAGTTGATGCCTTTGATGGTGAAGTCAATAGAGGGCAGGGTATTGACCGCAGAACATGAAACATAGTGCTATTAGAGACAGAGGGAGAGAGGTTGGCCCTGGAGATCCTTGTTGTGTGTGGATACTGGGAATGACCCTGGGCCATGACCTTTCACCTCGGAACCCCGTGGCTTGGCACCGAGGAACCTCAGGACCTTATAGACCAGTCTTCTTGGGCCAAGGATCGATGACGTCCCGGTGTCCACAATGGCCTCACAGCCTCCAGAACAAGCAACAATCTGACCTTCCATGGAGATGGTGAGAGACAGTGGAACAAAGTGGGCATTGAGGTCACTCTGAGTCTCCCCAGAGTTGCTCCATTCCTGTCTGTCTCCTAAACAGCCCTTTGTCTCTTGCCCTGACTCTCTTCATCTGCTCTCGACACGGCACCTCCCTTGAAATCCTTGAATGCAGTACTTGAATACACCAAGATTTTTGTACCTTGAAACAAGCTGGCCTTCCTTCCTTTAAGACTCCCCTCCCCTTTGACTAGCAAATGTCTTCTCATCTTCCAGATTCCAGCTTAATTGTCATGGATTCAGGGAAGTCTTTCCTGCGGTGTTTATCATTCTCTTGTCTTTGTCACTCTCTGTAGACCCTTCCCCACGACTAGCATGTACCAAAGTCACAATTCACTAAGTGTGTGTGTCATTTCTGTGCATCTGCCTTCTTAGATGTGAGGGCGAGTTTTATTCTCATTGCCTCCCTAAAGTGCCTGGCACACAGTGGATGCCCAATGTTTGTCTGTTCCATGAGTGAATGAAGACTGTGAAAATAATGTGATACATCCAGAGAGCTGTATCTGGTAGGGAACAAATAATGGGTGGAAACAGAGTGAAGATGGAGATTAGCAGGGGCAGCAGATTCTCATAATGGAGGGAGAGAGGGGCTCCTCTGGGAGAGGGTGTCTCCCATCACTGCTCCTACAACCAGCTCAGACCCTGAGATTCTGGCCAGGAAATACATGACTAGCCCACGGAAACTCCAAAGGACAGGTCAGCTTTTGTCTGAGGGTATCACACAGAATCCTATCACTTATTGCCTCTTGTCCTCAGGTCACTCCTGGATCCCTCCTTTCTGATTCTCTCTGTTATAGCCCCTGCCCCACTCTGTGCCCAGGGATGTGGGGTGTCTTTTTTATTAGTTGCTTTCACGTCTTAAGACTGCAGCCAACCTCTCTCCACTACTGGGTAGCTTCTCCATAAGGAGACCAGTTTTCCCCATTTGCTGAGGACTTTCCCTGTTTGTAAACTGAGACTTATCTGTACTGAGAAATTGCTTGGTGCAAGGTAGCCATAGACTTTTGGTCATCTTATCATAATGCTGTCCAGGCTGGTGAAATCCTCCCTGTTCCTGTTCACCACACTGCAGAGTCCTCTGACCATGCTCCCTGCCTCAAAGGTCATCAGGTGCAATGCTTCCCCAGCTGCACAGACCTCTCTGGACCCTGTGAGGACCCTAGTCAGAGCCCTGGTCAGGAGGCCTGGGGATTATGAATCCATGGGCTGTTTGTGTATCTATGTGCTTGTGTGTTTGTTTGTATGTGTCTTTTTATGTATCTTTGTGTGTGCTTCTGTGTCTCTGACTAGCTATGCATGTTTATATGTGTCTCTGTGTATGTGTATATGTGTCTGTTTGTGTGTTTCCATGTGTCTGTGTGTCTGTCTGTGTCATTGTGAGTGGTGTATATTGTTGTGTGACTATGTGTCTGAGAATCCATTTGCGAGTGTCTGCCTTTGTCCATGTACAGATGTGGAACATCCCTTGGGCTGACCCTCAGAGAGAGAGGCTTACCGGTCCATGTGAACAGACCAGTCGCCCACTTGGATCAAGGGTACCCAGTTGAGCACTCCCTGGTAGTAGGATTTATCGACCCCACCAAACATCACCACACTGCCTTCCGGCTTGCTCCTGTAGAGAGAAGACAGTGGGGTGATCCGTGGAGGATGATAACAACAGCAGGGTCTGAGAGCTTTGCTTCTCCACCCACCAAGGCCCTAATAAGGTCCTCTTCGACAGATGCAGAAATTGAGGCTAGGAGTGATTGAAAACCAGCCTGAGGTCAGTTACTGGCTAATGAGTGACACAGAGGAGGTTAGAAGCTGAGTCACCTGGCTGGGCTCCACCCACTATATCTTCTGAAGAGGCCCTGGACCTCCTGTGACCTGAGTGCTCAGACACCCTCAGAGGACAGGGTGCTGAAGCATTTTGGCTTTCCCCTTGTACACTTTGTCATTTTTCAGGAAAATCAATGCCTGGGAGTGCTAAGGGTGTGGGATCAGGTCACCCAGAGTTGGCTCCACTAGCCTGTGACCTCTACTGTCCAAAGGGCCCCACACTCAGAAGGGACCCCACCTCTGTTCTCCCTGTTTTGAAATGTCTAATATTTCTTGAACAAGGGTCCTGCACTTTTTGTGTGTGTCCTACAATTTTGTTTTTCTCTGGCTTTTGCAAATTGGGTAGCTGGTCATGGGCTTGCAGTGAAATGCTAATGAGGAAGGAAAGCTACCCACCATCCTTCTCCTTCCTTATCAAATTCATAAGGAAATCCTAATGCCTTTTCCTTCAACTTGTTTCCTGTTGCCTCTCGTTAGTGTTCCTCCTCTCTCATCCCCCTAGACCAAGTTATTGATCTTGAGCCCAGGAGCAGGTTTATGTTCCAATAAAACGTTATTTATAAAAGCAGGTGCTGAAGCCAGGTAGGGGCCTGGGGCCATAGTTACCTTGGGTTAGATTATCTCTCAGGACACTTCTTTCTCAAGCGTTCTATAAATTTCATACAACTGAAAGCAAATTACAGCTAATTTGGAGAAACTGATTGTCTATCTCAGACTTACTTGCTCAAGTAAAAGGCAAAAACAGGCTCAGAAATGACGCCGTGATTCTTCAGGTTGTCAAAGATGGGGATGCATCCAGTGAGAGTTATGTTGGGGTAGTTCAAGCCCAAGACGCCATCAAAAGGCAGTCCTTCAAACCCAGATTGCTCCATGCTTAAACCAAATTGCTGGTCAGTACTTACAAGGTCCCCAATCTGTGGGAGAGAAGAGTGATCCCACTTACAGATACATGAAGTGGGGCTAGGACTGGGCTGGGGTGCATTGCCATTAGATCCTCAGAGAAGAATTGAGGGTGGGCTGTGTCTTCGGTGGACATCACACGGTTAGACCAAACTGGGAGGGGAATTTGGGTTCCATTTGAGAGAGGCTATTAATTTTAAAATATCTGACCCTCTGAAAGACACTACCTGAGTGAGTCAAACTGGCCTCGTGGCTTCTGTACAGGTGGGGCAACCAAGTCAGGCCAGGACCCATCGATGCCCCCTTGTGGACAAAATGAGATGAGAGCAAGGTAGCCTTCTCTTTGACATCACTGTGACCTAACGACAGGAATGGACTGCTTTCTCTGCAAGGTACTGTGGATTCTGCATCTGTCCAGAAAGACAGAAGCCAAAAACACAATCTTGCTTACAGGGATCTGTGAAATTCCTGCCTGGGGATTCACTTTTGGGGATATGTGTGTCTTTGTGTGAGTGTGTATGAGAGAGAAAGAGAGAGGGGAGAACTACTCAAGTACTTTGGGGGAGGCAGGCCTTAAGTTTTGTTGGACTCTCAAAGGCCGCCTAGAATGAGAACTCATTTATGAGGCCCCCTAACTTCTCAGGCCTCCAGTTTCCCAGTCTGGATACCTGAAGCCCTTGACTGCCCTGAGGGTTCCCAGGTCAGTTTTATCCTTTCCCCAAACACCCCACAGCAACTTCAGTCCTGAAAAGCCAGCCGAGCTCCACTGTTTATCACATGTGTGTCCTCAGCAAGGCCCTTGCTGTCTGCACCTCAGTTTCCTCATGTCACATGAGCTAATCAGAGAAACTGTTGTGTGGGGTTGTCAGGACTAAACCAGTTATCACCTGAAAGTGCCTGGAACAGTCGGAGAATATAAAAGTGGGTGCCTTTTCCCCCTCTTCGTGCTTCCAGCAAAATGGACCTTGAACTGCTCATGGGCAGAGAAGCTGCAAGTCCCCCTCTCAAGCCACTCTCTGGGTTAGCTAATCTGTGTGCTCATGTGTCACCACGGACACTGCCTCCCCATGGACAGGATCCTGTGGGTGTGATGGCGATTATGTATGGCAATTAGGCTAGGAAAGGTCCTTCCATAATCTTCTGCATCTGTTTTGCCAGCAGTTGTCACTCCATAGCCAGTCCTGACTCAGCATTTGTTACACTGTTACCTGAACGGTGTCACGAGCAACAAGTCCCTTCATCCTCCCAGAACAGTATTTGATGCTGAAGGTCTTATTGGTATGCCGGTATGTGGAATACTCATTATGTCTGAACATAACGTGTGAGGCTGCAGACACAAGAGGTAAGTGTCATCAGGTGCCAAGGGTGCAAAACAAGGTGGCAGGGCAAGGGAAAGATGGTCCGAGTAAGGGGTGTCTGTACTCACAACAGGTTGGGCTGTTGCAAAAGATGGAGGGCACCCACAAGTCAGATGAGCCTGTGTCAAAGACAACCTGGAATTCCTGAGGGGGTGTTCCAGTGGTGGTGTTACCCACATAGACCATCTACAGGGACAAAGAGTGAGTGGGTTAGTGCAGAACTGGCTATCCTATATTCCCACACTCATGCCTCCCTCTGGATGTCACATATCTCTTGAGATCACTTTCTAACCACCGTGCAGCTCACTGACTTTGGTCACAGAGATGCCTGCATTTGATATATTTTCCCGTGCTGCATGGTATGCAGGATATTGACTCTATGACCAGGTGTTGAAGTGGTACCTCCTGCATTGGAAGCACAGAGGCATAACCACTGGACCTCCAGGACCACTAGACACCCAGGGAAGTCCTGGTGCCTTCATCTGAGAAGCTCTGTAGTTTCTTCCAACCCAGCATTAACACCCCCTTCTCCAGGACGTCCTTGATCAACCTCAGCCACTCCCTCTAAACTCAGACCACATCCAATCAACACCATAGAGGTGACCCTTTCATTTGACCTGTATTTACTAATATGCCTATCTCTCAGGCTGGCATGAGAATCCTTAAAGACAAAATAAGCCATTTTTCTACTCTAAAAACAGTAACCACAGTGTTAGATACTTATGGCTTTACACGGAATACAGGTTCAGTATCTTATTACAGCTGTGGTTCTTGCTTTGGTGGAAACTGATTTCCTCTGCCTGGGGATTCACAATTGCTTTGCCCTTGGTTCTACCATTTGATTAGTGACAGTTCACTCTTCATCTATAACTGACTGACTCACTTATTTCAGAAGGAACAATCTCCCTCAAACTAGTGACACATCTTTGACACAGAAATGGATATTCACCTGTCACCTGGTAATTGCCAGGCCTAGTCACAAAGACCAACAGTTGAGAATGAGAGTGTTTTCCCCTCTAGGTGGGGTCCCTGTTTTCCAGTGTTTCTGCCTCCTGTAGGAACCCCAACCCCACATCCCACCTGGGATTTCCATATGAGCTCCGGTGCTAGGCTAGAGCACCAGGGGCATTGTGGAGCAACATCCCCCCCCCCCAATACTCACATCCTGGAAGTTTCTCAGGGGGTGAGTAGCTATATTTGAGCCAGGAGAAGAAGTCTGGTACAGTCTGTAAGCATGTTCCTTCAGGAAATTTTTCAGCATATTTTTTCCACTGCGGGTTTTTCTCATGATCTTCACTCTCGTTAGAGGTATACTTTACCGAGCATTTGACAAAGAAAACAGAGAATAAGCTACAATTAGCTGTCAGTGTTCAGGTATAACTGTCGTTGTAAAGGCCCTGTGTATTCTCTAATCATTTTTATGGGGCACATTATTATCAGAATTTTATGCATATACCATGGCAAAGACTGGTTTGATTAGAGGTTCTGTTCTGAACTCTGGGATAAGCCATATGACCACGTGGAGTCTCAGTCTCCACCTCGGTAAAATGGTGGGATGTAGCAATACAAACCCTCCAAATGGAATATCTTGGGGATAAGTGAAGTGATGGATATAAGGTAACTGATAAATAGGAAGTCTCAACAATGACAGGCATTTGCATTGATGTTGCCATCCCACTGTATCCTTCTAATAGAACCTCAAGGAAGAGGTAGAAAGGGGACTCTTATCCTCTTTTGTTAGGAAGCAATTTGAAATGCAAGAGTTGACTGTGGTCACACTGCTTGCCAGATATAAAACTGTATATAAAACAGTGTATCTTTCTCCAAGTTGAAAGAGAAAAGGGAGTTGAAAGAAGAATCCAGGAGACAGGGAATAAATAAGGGAAATTTAGAGGCTCGAGAAGGAAGGATGAGTTAAACGAAAAATTAAAAGAAAACAACAGAGAGAGAAATACACTCACAGAGACTTCCAAAGTGATTGAGAGGTAAATGATAGTGATACAGAGATGCAGACATAGACATATACACTTTGAAGCAGACAGGGAACAAAGAGGACATGTTGAATAAAATGTAGAAAAGTGCTATTCCACAGGACATCTGCATAGACTGTGCACTGAACAGTTGTAAGAAGTTGGATTTTCAATAGGTCATGACTGGACCCAAAGAGTTGTGCCAACTGCAAATCTACACCAAGACCCTTGGGATCCACAGTTCCTAAAGCAAGGTACTTATCAATAAATACGGGTTGAACTTTAAGACTGTCAGGGAAATATTGATTCCCATCTAAACCTGATGGGTTGAAGAATAATCAGATGAAAAGAAAAATCTGAGAAAGGAAGTTGATTCATCTTACATTCCCCATACTTACTTGACTATGCACTCTGAGAAGGCCACCAGCCCAAGGAGCACAAGCCAGTTCATGCTTCTTTCCTGGCTCCAAGTACTCAGGGAAGTTCGGGTTCTTAGCATGTAGTGGTGACTGGGAGCGCCTAGTTATATATGCTCTGACATGCCCTAGTTTTCCCCTTTGTGCCACTAATAGATCTGATAAAAACACACGGCTTTCGATAAAATCTTTACCTTCCTCAGTGTCCTTGGCGAATGGACTTTGAAGCTTCTCAGAATAGAGACAATTAGACTGCAATCTCTTCCTTGAATCTTGGCTGGAAAATCTAACTGATCTGCATGGACATCTAAGGAGACAGAGAACCTTGCCTACTTGGAGATAAAACTGCTAAGAACATCATGAAAATGGTAACTAGGGGCCATACTCGACATTCATGGTTTCATGTCGTCTTCTTAGTCACTTCATGAGATAGGCATTGCTGTCTGTGTTGGAGAGGAGATTGCTAGGAGGGTATGTTGTCAAATGGCAGTGAAGACTTCAGGGACAGCCCAGGGTCCCACAACTGGCCTTAGGTAGTGGGTCTAATGGCAAGGATCAGGGGCACCTGTGATGTCAGTCTGCATCAAAGTTTAGGGTAGAGTAGTAGCTCAATTGCATGGGTTTCAGTATTGTAAAAAATGTCATATGCATCCACAAGATATTTTATATCATCCAACAAATGTTCAAGGAAGAACTGTGTGCTGAGTTCTGGGTTAAAGGCTTCAAAGTCAAAGATGATCAAGACAAAAGTAGTCTTTATCTTAAGAGAGCCAGCAGTCTAGTTCTCACAAACCCATGGCCCCAGGAGGCAAGAGAAATAATAGTATAACTAGGTGGCCATGCTGGACCCTGACCCCTGGGAGCAGCCTTTCCTCCACTTCAACCATGCTGGAAAGCAGGCCGGTTGGCCATGTTTTCGAGAGAATCAGAAGTTTGGATATTTACACACAATCTACTGATTTTAATATTAGCAACTAATTTTTCCCCCCAAAAAACAGTGGGAACGAAATCTCCACAACGATGTGCTGCAATCACCCTTTAGTTTCTCCGGGTTTTTATTTCTAGCCTAGACTTGGGAGTGCAGTGGGGACAGAGAGGAATTTAATTCAAGTTTGTTGATTTACAAAGAGACTGAATGCATACTGAACATGTTTGTTTCCTTTCTATTTATAAAGAAAGATCATTGGAGACATACAAACCAACAAATTTAACTGCTGAAGATATATTGATATATTTCTGATATAATTTATCCCATAGGGTCTATACCATGAAACATTTTGTCTGCCAAAGCAAACATATAAAGTAATAACTTTGGAAGATCTTCCCAATCAAAGAAGACAAATCAGCTGTGGCAGCCAAAGTAAAGACAATCATGTTTAATTACTCATCCAGGACTCCCAGGGCCTATTCAGCATGAGATCTATCCATGCCTGTCCCTTGAATACAACAGGAGCCTCTCCTGTAGCCAGGTGTATGTTGGTGGGTCACTGTGTCTTAATCCTCATTTTTGCATATTGTTTAAATTCCGTTTTGCTGGTCAAATTCCAACAGGGGCAGTAGGATGTCACTGAGAAACGACATACTTGTATGCCCTTTGAACTATGGTCTTGGAGAAGACTTTTTATTTTCATTCATATTTATTAGTTGGAAGCTAGTTAATTTACAATATTGTAGTGGTTTTTGCCATACATTTACATGAATCAGCCATGGATTTACATGTATTTCACATCCTGATCCCCCCTCCTGCCTCCCTCCCCAACCCTTCCCTCTGGGTCTTCCCAGTGCACCAGCCCTGATCACTTGCCTCATGCATCCTACCTGGGCTGGTGATCTGTTTCACCCTTGATAATATATACATGTTCAATACTGTTCTCTCAAAACATCCCACCCTCCCCTTCTCCCACAGAGTCCAAAAGTCTGTCCTGTACATCTGTGTCTCTTTTTCTGTTTTTCATATAGGGTTATTGATACCATCTTTCTAAATTCCATATATATGTGTTAGTATACTGTATTGGTCTTTATCTTTCTGGCTTATTTCACTCTGTATAATGGACTCCAGTTTCATCCATCTCATTAGAACTGATTCAAATGAATTCTTTTTAATAGCTGAGTAATATTTCACAGTGTATATGTACCACAGCTTCCTTATCCATTCGTCTGCTGATAGACATCTAGGTTGCTTCCATGTCCTGGCTATTATAAACAGTGCTGCAATGAACATTGGGGTGCACATGTCTCTTTCAGATCTGGTTTCCTTAGTGAGTATGCCCAGAAGTGGGATTGCTGGGTCACATGGCAGTTCTATTTCCAGATTTTTAAGAAATCTCCACACTGTTCTCCACAGCGGCTGTACTAGTTTGCATTCCCACCAACAGTGTAAGAGGGTTCCCTTTTCTCCACACCCTATCCAGCATTTATTGCTTGTAGACTTTTGGATAGCAGCCATCCTGACTGGCGTGTAATGGTACCTCATTGTGGTTTTGATTTGCATTTCTCTGGTAATGAGTGATGTTGAACATCTTTTCATGTGTTTGTTAGCCATCTGTATGTTTTCTTTGGAGAAATGTTTAGTTCTTTGGCCCATTTTTTGATTGGGTAATTTATTTTTCTGAAAGTGAGCTGCAGGCGTTGCTCATATATTTTTGAGATTAATCCTTTGGCTGTTGCTTCGTTTGCTATTATTTTCTCCCATTCTGAAGGCTGTCTTTTCACCTTGCATATAATTTTCTTTGTTGTGCAAAAGCTTTTAAGTTTGATTAGGTCCCATTTATTTATTTTTGCTTTTATTTCCAATACTCTGGGAGGTGGGTCATAGAGGATCCTGCTGTGATTTATGTCAGATAGTGTTTTGCCGATTTTCTCCTCTAGGAGTTTTATAGTTCCTGGTCTTATATTTAGATCTTTAATCCATTTTGAGTTTACTTTTGTGTATGGTGTTAGAAGGTGTTCTAGTTTCATTCTTTATAGGCGGTTGACCCGTTTTCCCAGCACCACTTGTTAAAGAGGTAGTCTTTTTTCCATTGTATATCCTTGCCTCCTTTGTCAAATATAAGGTGTCCATGTGTACGTGGATTTATCTCCTGGCTTTCTGTTTTGTTCCATTGATCTATATTTCTGTCTTTGTGCCAGTACCATACTGTCTTGACGACTGTGGCTTTGTAGTAGAGTCTGAAGTCAGGCAGGTTGATTCCTCCAGTTCCTTTCTTCTTTCTCAGGATTGCTTTGACTATTCGAGGTTTTTTGTATTTCCATACACCTTATGAAATTATTTGTTCTAGTTCTGTGAAAAATACCGTTGGTAGCTTGATAGGGATTGCATTGAATCTATAGACTGCTTTGGGTAGTATAGTCATTTGACAATATTGATTCTTCCAATCCATGAACAAGGTACATTTGTTCATCTGTTTGTGTCCTCTTTGATTTCTTTCATCAGTGTTTTATAGTTTTCTATATATAGATCTTTCATTTCTTTAGGTAGATATGCTCCTAAGTATTTCATTCTTTTTGTTGCAATGGCGAATGGTATTGCTTCCTTAATTTCTCTTTCTGTTTTCTCATTGTTAATGTATAGGTATGCAAGGGATTTCTGTGTGTTAATTTTATATCCTGCAACATTACTGTATTCATTGATTAGCTTTAGGAATTTTCTGGTAGATTCTTTAGGTTTTTCTATGTAGAGGGTCCTATAGTCTTCAAACAGTGAGAGTTTTACTTCTTCTTTTCCTATCTGGATTCCTTTTACTTCTTTTTCTACTCTGATTGCTGTGGCCAACAGTTCCAAAACTATGTTGAATATTACTGGTGAGAGTTCGCACCCTTGTCTGGTTCCTGACTTTAAGGGAAATGCTTTAAATTTTTCACCATTGAGGATGTTTCCTGTGGGTTTGACATATATAGCTTTTATTATGTTGAGGTATGTTCCTTCTATTCCTGCTTTCTGGACAGTTTTGATCAAAAATGGATGTTGAATTTTGTCAAAGGCTTTTTCTGCATCTATTGAGATAATCACATTGTTTTTATCTTTCAGTTTGTTAATGTGGTGTATTACATTGATTGATTCGTGGATATTAAGAATCCTTGCATCCCTGGGATAAAGCCCACTTGGTCATGATGTATGATCTTTTTAATATGTTGTTGGATTCTGTTTGCTAGAATTTTGTTAAGAATTGTTGCATCTGTTGTCATCAGTGATATTGGCCTGTAGTTTTCTTTTTTCATGACATCTTTGTCTGGTTTTGGTATTAGGGTGATGGTGGCCTCATAGAATGCGTTTGGAAATTTGCCTTCTTCTGCAATTTTCTGGAAGAGTTTGAGTAAGATAGGTGTTAGCTCTTCTCTAAACTTTTGCTTGTCTGTAAAGCTCTTGAATTCTCCTTCATATCTGAAAGAGATCCTTGTTCGGTACAATAAACTGCATTGTAGGTTATTCTCTTTCATTACTTTAAGTATGTCCTGCCATCCCTTCCGGTCTGAAGTGTTTCTATTGAAAGATCAGCTGTTATCCTTATGGGAATCTCCTTGTGTGTTATTTGTTGTTTCTCCCTTGCTGCTTTTAATATTTGTTCTTTGTGTTTGATCTTTGTTCATTTGATTAATATGTGTCTTGGGGTGTTTCGCCTTGGGTTTATCCTGTTTGGGACTCTCTGGGTTTCTTGGACCTTTGTCATTATTTCCTTCCCTATTTTGGGGAAGTTTTCACCTATTATCCCCTCGAGTATTTTCTCATAGCCTTTCTTTTTGTCTTCTACTTCTGGGACTGCTATAATTCGAATGTTGGGGCGTTTCTCATTGCCCCAGAGGTTCCTGAGGATGTCCTCATTTTTTTAATTCTCTTTTCTTTTTTCCTCTCTGCTTCATTTATTTCCTCCATTTTATCTTCTACCTCACTTATCCTATCTTCTGCCTCCATTATTCTACTGTTGGTTCCCTCCAGAGTGTTTTTGATCTCATTCATTGCATTATTCAGGAGAAGCCAATGGCACCCCACTCCAGTATTCTTGCCTGGAAAATCCCATGGATGGAGGAGCCTGGTAAGGTGCAGTCCCTGGAGTCGCTACGAGTTGGACATGACTGAACGACTTCA